GTGAAATCACGAACAGGTGCCGCTAGTGGTGAAGAGGTACTACGGGAGGACAAAATTGAATTTTTAAATAAATTTTTTTTGGCGCCATTTTTTCCAATTTTTTTTGCACCGCAAAAATAATACCATACTGAAAATTAGGATGGTTTCACACTGCATTAACACCCAAACTGAGTTTTTTATCGGGTTATTTTTGCGTCTCCCTATAAACTTTTTTAAAATTCCCCCCAAAACTCCCGGATCCCTCCCTCGACTCACTTTCTTTACTATTCTTCTTCTTATCCACGGATCCCCTCCGATCATTCATTCCACCTCCGACCTTCGTGCCACCAGATGGTCCTCCATTAAGTAATCGATCAGTTTCCTGCTCCTCTTGCTCATCTCCTCCGCCATTTTCGGCGGCTTCCTGTGCAGCTGTCGCCGCTTCGTGCCAGTTCATTTCCTGAAAGAAAAAATAATTGAAATTTGGGCGAAAAATGGTTAGGGAAATGGACCGGAAATTGAGAAAATTCATCTTTTTTGGAGTCAAATTTTTGATTCTTTACTTTTTTTCCGGAATTTTCAATCAAAATTCATGTTGTTTTGTTCGATTTATGACTAAGACTTGAACTGCAACCTAGGCCATTTTTGGTCGATCCGGACCACATTTCAGGCTAGTTTAGGCCGCTTCAGGCTATGGCAAAGCAAAATAAGCCGTTTTTAGTGGATTTTAACAAATTGAGGCAATTTCAAGAAGTTTTAGGCTGACCTAGATAATATCGGTTCTTTGTAGACTTTTTTCAGGCAATTCAGACAATTTCAGGCCATATTCAGCCAATTTTCAACTAAAAAAGCTGATTTTTAGTCGATGTGGGTTAGCAGAGGCCATATTTAGGCCAGTTCAAACTATTTCAGGCCGTTTTTAGTCCAATCATGCTGGGCTCGGATCAAGGGCCTATACAGACTGACTGAGATCAATTTGGGCCGGTTTTAGGCTATTTCAGACCGTTCTAGGCCGAGCCGGACTGGTTCAAGTCAATTTAGGCTATTTCGAGCTAGTTCAGGCTGAAATTCAAGTTTTTAGGCCTTTCTTTCGAGGAAAAATGCACAAAAGTCTATACGAAAAGCTGAAAACTGGAGCCCAAGGAGAGAACTCTCAATTTTTTTTCTCAAATCCTATAATTTTCTTTTCCATCCTCTATCCCCCCAAGGGTATCATTATATTCAGAGATTCAACTCCATCATTAAAATGTGAGATTTCGCTTCGTTTTTTATGTGAACTATTGTTCTTTTTGAGAAAAAAAATCGAAAATTTCGGGAAAAAAGTGGCATTACAAAAAATGGGACAGAAAAAAAAAACTTTAGGCCCTGGAGGGATTGAACCCGGGGCCAATTTTATGAAAAACAAGAGTTTTACCAGGTAGGCCACCCCGTCGATAGTATAAATAAGTGCAGCGGGCTTATCAGAAAGAGAGTCGTCATAGCAACCAGTCCCCTCTTTCCTATATGCCCTCTCACCCATACGTAACTGTCGACGGTGTGGCGCAACCGGTAACGCTCTACGTTTTGAAATTTCATACCCGGGTTCAATCCCACACAAACTCATTTTTCTTTTTTTTTATTTTTAAAAATTATCTACCTCTTCCTCCGAAGTCCTCTGCTCCCTTTGCATCTTCTTCAGGTACGAATCCCTTAACACCCACACCGGATCATCAGTTCCAGTGGAAGTAGACGGTGCTCCGGTGGTTCCATTGGTTCCACTTGTCGTTGTGCTCCCATTCTCCTTATTCTCCTCAGGCCATGATCCACCACTAATCCTCCTCGGAATCGGATGCGATGGTGGAGGTGGTGGTGCAAGGCCTCCGGTGGGTGGGGGCACTGTAGCCTGGGAAGTTGAGGGGGGCGGAGCGTCGAAGGGAGTTGGAGCCGCCTGGGCCTGTTGAGCAATTTGTTGTTGGGCAAATGCGGCGGCAAGTTGCTCCGGTGTGAATTGTTGAGCGGCTACTGTAGGTACCAGAGGGGCGGTGCCGTTTTGAACAAAATTTGGAAGAGGTGGCTGGTTTTGGAGGAATGGATTCGTTCCGTTGTTCACGAAAGTGGCTGGAATTCATATTTTTCAAAAAATTGTGTACGATGGAGCGCGCTTGCACTGTTTCGAATTTCAAAAAACTCACGATTAGGTTGTTGCATGAAGAGATTATGTTGATGGGGTTGCATCATTTGGAAGCCTGGCGCCGTGCCAAATGGAGCTTGGGGTGTCATCTGAAAAAAATTCAAATGAAACTTTAAACCAAAAATTCGTAACCTCCACTCGATTTGGCGAGTTTTGAGCCCCATATTGACCATACTCTGATAATTTTGAATTTTGGCTCTAGGACGGGTCTTGGCACGAAAAATGAAAATTCTCGGAATATAGTCAATATAGAGCTCAAAACTCCAGAAATTTGATGGAGAATCTGGATTTGACACTAGCTTTGGCAAAAAACACTCGGATTTTCAGATTTTGAATTTTCAGAAGGCTCAAATTTTTGAAATATTTTTTCAAAAATCGGAAAGCTTCCAGTGATATTTTTCCAATGAACTACCGAAAATTCTAGATTTTTTGAGTCAAAAACCAAGTGAAAATCTTGAAAACTAGCCGAGTTATCGATTTTCGAAACTTTTCGAAAAACTGAAAAATCACAAATTTCACTGTAATTGGCTTCAAATTTGAAGGATAGCAAAGATAATTATATTGCCAGAATCAGAAAAATTAGTCGGTCATAACAGTACTAAAAAACTGACTTAAAACTGAAATTCAAATTTTTTCTCAATGGAGCGCACTTACCTGCACAAACGCGTTTGACGCGGCAAAATTCCCCGCAAACATCGAGTTATTGGCAAATTGTTGTTGTTGAATCGGTTGGACCGGAGGGGTGGAGCTAGGAACCGGTCCCACCGTCGGAGAGTCTTCTGGCAGGTTGAAGGAGCTCCTGAGTTGATTCAGTGACTCCTTGGGCACCGCTTTTTCTGAAGTATTTGCAGCGGCTGGGGGTGCCGTGTAGGATAGACAACTCTGAAAAAAATTCAAAATTGGGTTACTGTAGAATTTGGCGGGAATTCGAATCTCGCACAAAGAAGCAATCAGGAAACCACAGCAAGTGCGCTCCACGGACAAAATCGCAGTGGAGCGCGTTTGGGGACAAGAAGGAGTACGGTGACACAAATTTCAGGGTGCAAACACATGCAATACAAATATACCACGACACTTCTATCCATCTACCTTATCAGCGAACGGTGAAAAATCGTCAGGGATTACTGTAGAAGCTCCGCCTCCTCTTCCAATCAGCTCAGCCAGTCCGTCGTCGTCAATCTGTATCGTGCCCTTATAATAGAGGTTCCCAGAAATTAAAAGAGCCCAGGGGGGACGAAAAAGAATAGTGAAAATGAAGAAGTTCAGGGTGAGTGGGGACGGGTTACTGTAGGTTTTTAGGGGGTGCCCTTCTATTAGAGTTAGGGGTTTGCAGCTAATTTGACTAGTAGGCGTGTGGGTTATGGGGTGATTGTTAGGGGTTGGTTAGTGTGCCTATCTGTGTGTCTGGATGTTCGGATGTCCACCAAAATGACTGGATATTCAGATGTCTGGATATCCGGATGTTCATCTGACAGTCCGGATGCCTACATACCTGAGTATCTGGGTTTCTGGATGTCCGGATGTCTATTCTATTATCTGGATATCCGGATGTCTGTCTGTGTATCTAGGTGTCCGGATGTCCAGATGTCCATCCTAATATCCGGATATCCGGATGTCTGATTTTTATCTAGATATCCGGATATCCAGAGGTCTGGAGATCTGGATGTCCTACTGAGCGTCCGGGTTTCCAGATGTCTGGATGTCCAGATGAGATTCCAGACGTCCGGATGTCTATCTGATTATTTGGATGTCCGGATGTCTGTCTGAGTTTTTGAGATATCCAGATGTCCACATGACTCTCCAGGTCTCCGGATGTCCATTTGACTACCTGGATGTCTGGATGTCTGGATGCCCAGATTTCCATCCGAGTGCCTGGATGTCCGGATGTCCACTCACGTGCCTATTTCGAGTCCCTTTATCACGATTTTGATATTTTGAAGCCCCAAAATTCGAAAAATCGAAAAAATATGCGTTTTTATGTATTTTTTTTTGCGAAAATCCGCCTAAGTACCGTATTTTTCGATTTTTTTTTGGCAATATTGCACCCGAAAAATCAGAAAAACCCCCTAAATTCTCGTCGAAAATTCTGCACGTACCCATTTTTCTACTTCAAATTTTCGGGCAAAACTCGACTTTTAGGTCAAAAAAGTTCGATAAAAATCGATAAAAAATATTTCTCGTGAATAAAAAAAAAGTGGTTTGAAAATAGAAGAGAAAGAAGAAGAAGAAGTGAGTGCATTTACGAAATTGGGTATGTTGTGTGGAGCACAGGGCACCTCCTGTGTGTGGAAAGAGAGAAAAAGAGACACAAACGTTATTAGATTATTGGTCCCAATTGTTCCCCCCATCTCTCACTAAAACCGATTTCAGGCCCACCGAAAAAACAAATCAATACCTTCTTAATATTCTTGTTCTGTGACCTCCTTGTGATCTCCTTCTCCATTTCGTTCATTTGTTTTCGAATCAGTGAGTCGGTACGGTCTCCGGACAGTTTTCTTTTTTCTTCCGGTTTTTCTTCTACGGGGGATGGAGATTCTTCATCTGGAATTGCTGTAGATTCCGAGGAGGTGGGCAGGAGGACGTCATCTGCAAAAAAATCGCTCAAAATTTTGCGTTAGAGCGGACTTTCTCACTGTGAATTTTTTTGAATCCCACTCCCCTACCCCTCAAAAAGCCCTGCCTTCATCGCCTTTTTCTTTTGCGAAAAATCGCTTAAAATTTGAATTTGAGCGTGATTGCGATAGAGCGCACTTTCTTCACTTCATTATTTCCCCATCATCTCACCTCTTCTCCACTCCCCCCCCTGCAAGCTGCGCGCTTATCACTGCCCTCTTACTCTCTTTCTCATTGCGAGCGCTTGGCCTAGTGGTTAGCGCTGTCGGTTTTGGATCTGAGGGTCCCGGGTTCGATTCCCACTGGGGTGATTTCTTTTTTCTTTTTTTTTTAAATCAATTTTAGGTACCAGAGGGTCATCCTAATGCCAATTTTAATGGTTTCAAGCCTTTACACCCCCATTTTCCAACCTAAAATCTCCAGAATCCCTCTTTTTGGATTTGAAAATCGCGAACACAAATGTGTACTACATCCTTGATACATTTCCTCTCCATGTCTTCTCCACCCTCCCTCTTCCCTTATTTGACACAAGTGCTCTTCGGCTCAACGCGCGCGTGCGCCAGAATCCTGAAACACGAGCAGCATCCCTCTCTTGGCCCCTTACTAGTAGATATCACTGGCGTCTCTTACTATCACACACTATTTCTTGACGGGAGGGATGCTCGTTTGTCGATTCCTCACTAATTGTTCGTGTGCTTGTGTCTGACGAGATGGAAAAAGAAGGGGGGAAGAGTTGTATTCTGGGAGGAGGAGGAGTGGTCTGGTGTCCAAAAATGGAATGTGGAATCCGGGGAGAAATATCATTCAAAAAAAGGCTCAAAAACTATGATGGAGAAACTGCGCTCTATCGAACTTTTGAAAAAAAAACTTACCGGTGACATTTTCCGCAAGACTACTGACTTCCGGAGATGTCGACACTTCTTTTGACTCCTCCGTTGGCTTTTGCTGGAAAAATAGCAGTTTGAACAGACTCAAAAACCTCATTTTTTCAGAAGAAACCGGGACTTTCTCATTAGAGCGCGTTTCTCTATGATTTTTGAAATTTATTCTTGAAACTTGCTCCGGAAACAATGTAAAGATCCTGAATTTTTGCGAATTCTCGCTAAAAATTCAAAACTACCGCCTAAAATCATCACGTTAGAGAAATTCTCGATGGAGCGCGTTTGCATTTTTTCTATTTTTCAATCATAAGTTTTTCAACTCGGCGCCTTCACCCTGTCCTCCCCTGCGCTGCTTTCGGCGCCTACCGCTCTTATGACCGCCCTTTCTACTTATTTCGTTTTGCGACCGCGTGGCTCAGTGGCTAACGCGCCTGTCTTTCGATTTTGAGGTCCCTGGTTCAATTCCACCCGGCTTATTTTCTTTTTGTTTTTTCACTCTACGCCTTCTCATTGCTTTCTGAAGTGTTTCCCCTCTCATCTAAACGAACCTCTCGTTGATGATTGGGTGATACATTGGATGACACTACCGCACTACCAGCTGTCTGCCTTCCATTATCCTCCTCGGAGCGATGAGATGATGACGCCTAAATATCGTATTAATAAGTGATGGGAGGAAGGACCCTTGAGAATTCTGTCTATTTGTTTGTTTGTCTGGATGTCCAGGGTGCCCCAGGAATTTCATCATCGGAAATATTTCGAAATACTTTAATGACTAGAGGGATGACTCAGTGTCTGTCTGTCTGTATGCCGGGCTTTCCGGATGTCTACGAACCTGTGAACTCGGCCTGGGTTGCTGAAACGCTGGCTGAAACTGCATGGGAAATGGGATTGGAAACTGCGCTCCACTGGCGGCCATCATTTGTTGAAAGTAGTGATGCATGACCTCTTGATATTGTGCTGGTGAGAATACCATTTGGGGCTGCGGGACTCCGCCCTCTTGGGGTCCACCCTCTTGAGGACCGGGTGCTGGGACGTAAGGATTCATGAACGGGTTGGCGAAGAAGTGACCGGGCGGTATCATTTCTGGAAAAAATTTTTTTTTGAATTTCGTGACGGGACCCAAAAGTAAAATTTTGAAAAGTTATCAGACCCTGGGCATGATTATACTTATTGGAACCGCCTTGGTTTGCTGATTCTAACCATGTGATTTTCATGGGTCTCGCGGCAAAATTTAGCGAGTTACTGTGAATTTTTTGATTTTTCTGATTTTTTTTTTTGGAAAAATTGAAAGTCTGAAAATTCAAAATCTGAAACTCCGATCAATTTCAGCCAAAACAAGTGTCAAAACTGGATTCTCCATCAAAATTCCGAAGTTTTGAGCCCCATATTGACCGTATTACGAAAAATTCTGTTTTTCGTGGTAGGACCCGCCCTGGGTCCAAAACTCAAAATCATCAGATTACGGCCATTATGGGGCTCAAAACTCGTCGAATTTTGCGGGGAATTCAAATTTTTGAGTCACTTTTACAGTGGACGTCTTGACTTCTGGATCTGATAAGATTATTTTTTTCGAAACACAAAAAAAATATTTTCCATCCGGGGAAAAAATATTAAAAATTCTTTTCATCCCTGTGGAAAATTGGAAAAGATGGGTGCCCTCTATTATTTTTTTCCTCCTATTTTGTCTCATCGTCAGTCACAATAACAAAAAAACGAGGCTATTATTCATGCCTTACCCGCCTCTTCCTGTCACCGGTCTTCTTATTTTTCCAGTGTTGTTTAAGAGAATTTCTTATCGAGAAAGAAGATGAGAATGGAAGAACCTTTCAGAATTAGACTAGGTTTTATGGAGGGAATTTTTTTTTCTCGAAAATTTTTTTTTCGGAAAAGTTGGATAAAAATGGGATAAAAAATCATTTTGGCTCAAAAGCAATCAAAAATTTGAAATTTCCATCGAATTTGGCGAGTTTTGAGCCCCATATTGACCATATTCCGAAAATTTTGAATTTTGGCGCCAAAACCGTCTTAGGATGGGTTCTACCACGAAAATTGAAATTTCTCGGATTTTGGTCGATATGGGGCTCAAAATTTCGGAAATCTAATGGGGAATCTGATTTAGACACTTGTTTTGGTTGAAAATGCTTGGATTTTCAGATTTTTTATTTTCTGAAAATTCAAAATTTGAAAATATTTTTCAAAAATTCAGTCTTTACATAGAAGTTCCTAGTGTTATTTTTCTGAAGAAATACCGAGAATTTTGGATTTTTGAGCTTGAAATCTGGCCCAGTTACAGATTTTCGAAACAATTCGAAAATCTGAAAATTCAAAAAATTCAAAAAAAAACCACCGTAACCCCCTTAGTTTTAAAGGTACAGCCTGGAATTTGAGATTTTCAGAATCAGAAAAATCAGGCGGTCCGAATGATACGAAAAACTGCCCGAAAATCCAAAAATGAAAAAATTGTCAATAGAGCGCACTTGCTCATTTCCCAATTTTTGAATTCCCAAGGACCCCAAAAAGTCAAACAAGTAAGACACTTACGAAATGGAACTTGTTGTTGTTCTCCTCCTCCCCCGGCTCCGCCCCCTTTGCTCAGAGGAGGAGGAGTGGGCGTGGCCTCGTGTTCTGGAGACGTGGCCGCCGTCGCTTCAGATGACATCCTGCAAATCGACATTGAATTCGTGTTCAAAGGACCAGAAAATGTGTGTGAGAGAGATAGAAAAAGGACACGATGGATTATTGGGGGGAGAGGGGGGGGGGGGTGCTTCTTCTATCTTCTCGAATTAATTAGAGAACGAGAGACGCAGAGACGCAGAGAAAATGAGCAATCGAGAGAGATCAAGGGGAATTGAGAGAATTAGAGAAAAGGATGAAAATTACTTATTCTGCCCTTGCTCACTCATCAACTTGATGTGCTGCTCCTTTAAGTTTCCGATGAAAATGGAAACAAAAGTTTAAGGGGACATCAAGGAGGAGCTAGTGTATGATTCAAAATTTGAGTTCCCGCCAAACCTGAAAACTCTGGAGTCCATTAGAGCGCGTTTGCTTCGAAATAGAAAAATATCGGTCGAAATTCATCGAAAACAGTTCAAAAAGGCCCCATTTTTTCCGTTTCCATTTTTATTTCAAACGCTTCACGCAAAATGAGAAAAAACGAAGCAGAAACACGCTGACTAATCCCAGAGAATATCATGAAAAAAGGAGGGGTGTTTGTGTGACGGAGGAGGAAAAAGACACTTGTTTTACATGCTTTTTCTTCAATGTTTTCATATACTCTAATCTCTTTTTTTGTTTCAAAAACCAGGGGAAAAAGAAGAAAAAATTCTCAACTTTTTTCAGTTAGGTAGAAAGTGCGCCCCATTGATCTAGGCCAGGCGGGAATTTGAATATTTTCAAAATTGAAACTGTTAGGAAAAATTGAGTAATTTCGAACTTTTTCGAATTCTGTAACAAACGCGCTCTAATGGACTCGAACGTTTTCAGGTTTGGCGGGAACTTGAAAACTCCCTTCATTAAAAACTTACTCCCCGTTAATCTTGGCACTGTGTAGAAGCGCTAAAAGCTGTGGAAAGTGCGCCCTATTGAACTAGGCTTGGCGGGGATTTGAATTTTTCTTTATAAATTGAATTAAGCTGGAATGTAAACGTGCTCCATTTGAAGCGTAGTTTTCTCATTGAAGCGCGAATGAATTCTATAGGGTGAAACAGCAAATGCGCTCTGCTGCCAATTTTTGAGGAAACAGATTTGGCGGGAGTTCAAAATTCAAGGGGCGTAAATCTACACAAGCTTCCAGGTTATACATACTGGTTTTCAAGCAAAAAAGTGAGTAGAAAAAGTTGGAAAAAAAAGAGAAAAGGGGCAAGGGGAGAAAAATAATAAGCCTATTCCTCTGGCTCTCTGTTTGTGAATCCTGAGAAAAAAAAGTGGGAAAAATAATAATAAAAACGAAGCGAGAAGAAGAAGAAGAAAAGCGAAGAGAGTGTCATAATTATGCTAATTCCGTCTTTCTCTCTCTCTCTCTCTCTCTCTCTCTCTCTCTCTCTCTCTTTTCCAAAGAAGTATCAAAAAGGACATTTTGTAGCGGGGATGAATGTGTTGGATGGATGAATTGGATGTGTTGTAAGTAACGGCCGAGTGAACATGATATGTGAAAACTGGTATATGGATACACAGACGCACAGACAGACCTCAATCTATTGATTAAAGTGCCCTTTTTGCAACCGGAAGGACGAGAAAAGGTCAATGAAATTGTTCAATTTTGCTCCAAAATGAATAAAGGAGCACGAGGGATTAATGAGGAACCACCAAGAATGTGCAAAAGAAAAAACAAAAAGAGTTGACCTTACCCGGGTTCGAACCCGGGAGTCACCTTCGGATTCAAAAACAAACACGTTAGCCACTCGGCCACGGGGTTGCCACACAGGCAAAACGCTGAGAACGAAATGCGTGTACTCCGCGTACAAAATGGCGCACGTGTGAGGAACAAGATTCGACGTCAAATGAGGATCACATTTGACCCACTTTTCGTACTCCAGCGGTTTTCTGAAGCCGAATCGGGCCCTGGAAATTCCCGTAGCTAGCTAGGCTGTTCGATTCGCGGAAAACATAAAACGAGGGTTCTGCTGTAGTTCATTTATTAAGGAAAGAAAAACTAATTGTACATACAAAATAAAAATTCAAAATTACTATACAAGTGATGAAAAAGAAACAATTATAACTTGTTCACGAACTGGTCCAGAAGACTGGCAGTTGTTGTCGTCCTAGAATTTATCCTGGAACCGTCTTGCGAAATGAGAGTGGTTTTTCCTATTATTGAGTAATTCAGAAGTGAGAACCTGAAAAATGCTTATTGTTTTTCAGATTAATGACTACTTATTCAAACTCACCGAAACTTTCTCCACTTATTGCTCCATCTAGCTTAAATCCAGGCTCTTAGCTGACGACGGACGCATTTTCTAAAAAAAAAACAGTTTTGATTAAGGAAAAGTTTTGTTCTCTTACATGACGAATCAGGAACTGTTAGTGACCATCCACAACGTCGAGAACATCTTGACGGAATTCGAATAACTTCCTCAGTATCGGCAGCCTTCTTAAGAATTAGATTTGCTTTTTTTGACAAACAAAGTCAAGAAATCTTACTTGAATTTTTCCTTCGCACCTCATTTTCATCCTCAAGAACATTCAATTTTCGTCTTCTGAAAAATATACATCATTTCTGTTGAAAAACCAAGACTCGAAGGTTCTTTTTTAAACCTCCAAACAAAAAAAAATATCGACACAAAGAAAAAGTAATCCAATAAGTTTTAGAAATCGTAAAATTTGTATAAAATGAAAAATTGAAAATAAAATTCCAAGTGGAGTGATATCCACGTTTCGTTCGCTGTTCACACTCTATTCGTACACCTCAAATGATTGGGGTCCGAATGGCGAGCATGGCTCTCCTATACGCGCCTTTCATCCACCTTTGATTCTCAAATCCAAGTAAAATTTTCAGCGCTCGTTTTGAGTGCGAGATGAGTGCCAAATTCGGCTTTTGGTACACAAATCGTTCGCATTTCGTTCTCAGCGTTTTGCCTGTGCAGGAGAACGAGGTGGAGGAGGCGGTGATAAAAGCGCCGCTTTTCGATGTTGGCTAAGGGGGGGGGGGGAGAGGGAGGTGAAAATTTAGAAAATGAAGAAAGTTTCAGAAACGAGGAAAATGCGCTCCAGTGAGAAAACCGCGAAATTTCGAATTTTTGAGTTCCAGAATGCAGATTTTCGGACCAAAAGATCAAATTTTGCTCCGAAATCGAAAAAAATTGGTTTAGCCTCCCCAAAAATGAATAATAAAACCTTCTCGGGGCGCCTCGGAGGGAAATGACCCCCCTCATCGTAAATGGGCCCTTCTACTCAACCAATATTAAGATTTTTATGCGTTTTTTGTCGTCGTCCTTCTCTTGTCCTGACACAGCCTGGTATGCATATTTTGTGTTGTTTTGAGAGGAGAAAAACGAGAAAAAAAATTTCGAGAGGGGTCAAAATGTCTAAAAATGCATAGAAATTCAAAGGAGCGGCGCATCGCAAAACAATTAATTTTAAAATTCCCGCCATTTTTTTGGGGTCAAAATTGGTAGATCAAAAAATCCCAAAAATCCCAAAAATAGCGAAAAAAAATTCCCACGAAAATCGAAACAAAGGTGTGTAAAATAGAGAGGGAAAATAGAAAAAAGAGAGAGATTGGTGACAGGTAGCAGTAGTAGAAACCACCTTCCCTCTCCCAACTACTACTATAAATCATGTTTGCCTAGCGCTCTGTGTCGGAGAAAGGGGGCAGGCGACACCACCTGTGATTTGTATGAGGAGGGCGTTCTAATCATACCTTTTATGGGTTTGGAGATGAAAAAAACGTTCAAAAAAGAGAAAAAAAAAAGATTTACGCCCGGGTGGAATTGAACTCGGGTATGGCAGATTCAATAGCAGGAGCGTTAGCCACAAGGCCACGCGGTCGACAACGACGTATGATGTGAAAGGCGTATAAGAAAGAGGGGGGGGGGGGAAGAGGAGACTGATAAGGCGGGGGGAGGCGCCTCATCACAATTTGTGGAAAAAAGTCCAAAAAGCAGCAAGTGCGCCCCAAAGATAATTTGGCGAGAAACTTGGTTTTTGATGGTTTTCAATAGTTTTAAATGGCTAAAAAGAGTAATTAAAAGAGAAATGAACACACTGCTCACTCTATAATTATCGGGGAGAGGGAAATGATGATGATGATGAGGAGGAAAGAGGAGAATTTTAATTGTGTAATAGGAAAAGGAGGTTTCCGTCTTTCTCTCTCCCCCGATAAACCGAATGATGAATTGGTTCGTGGGCGCAGGTCGTTTCGTTTTCGTGTCGGGAAGAAGGAGAGCTTAGGCTAGCTGCTCAGGATATCTTTTGAATGTGTAATCCGCGGAGAAGGTGGTCATTATTGATTTTTATGGAGTGGGACGCGGAATTTATTTCCCTCCAGATTTACGAGGCGATTTACGGCGGAAGTTCATAAATTGGCTATTTTGACCATTTTTTTAAAATCTGGTGCCCAGTTAAACCAGCTTATCTCAAAAACCGTTAGACCTACCAAAAAATGATAAACTGCAAAAATAATCAACATAAAATTCTACACATTTTATCAGTTAACAACTTTTTCCTATCTCTTTTCCCAACTGAGATAAATCGATTTGAAAAATTCTATATGAGATTTACGCCAGGATCAATTTTCAGTTTTAGGGAATTTTTCAGGAAAGAAGAATAAAAAGAAGAAAAGGGGAAGAAGAAGATCTCGGAGATCACATTTCACTATGTGTGAATTTGCAAAAAGGGCACTCTTTGGGGCTGGAGGGGGGAAAATGAGAAAATGAAGGGAAAAAATGTTGCAAAAAACTTTTTTTTCGTTGAGGAAATCTCTAAAATCTGCAAAATGACGTTAGGGGGTGTTTGCAGACTGGGCATCATATTTTACGACACTTTGGTTCTTAGATCAAAATTGCATAATTTTTGGAGGGAATTCGAAAGTCGAAAAAAAATTTTTTCGTAATTTTTGGGACGATTTTTTTTTCAAGTTTTTAGACGAATTTTTCCAGCATATTCTTGATTTAAAACATGTGAAAAGCAGGTAAAAACAGAAAAAAAAACAATTTCCAAAAATAATTTTTCAAATTTTGTCCACGCAGACTACACGAGCGGAGTTTTCTAGGCCATCATTTTGAGAGACGGTTTGGAAAAACAACTAGCTTTCCTAGTTATTTTTTCGTTATTTTTTCTTGATTTTTATGCAAAAAATAGTTTTTCGAGGATTTTGAATGGTGAAAAATCGATAGGAGAAATGGAAAAAAGTTTTTCGAAAAAAAATTTTTTTGAAAAATTTTTTCTGAACAGGTCTGGTCTAGGAGCCTGAAATGACCTGAATCAGCATAGATTTTCTGAATTTTGGCCTAAGTTTGACTCCACGTGCTTCTCAAACTCAGGTGTCACGACATCGATTCCAGAAAAAATTTTTTTTTTTGGGAAAAATTCTTAAAATCCCAATTTTTCCCCAGAAAAAAAAGTTCCAAGAGCAAGAACCTTTCCCCTAAAACTATGCGCCCCAAAACCAAGGGAATGTTCCCGTGGGAACACCCTTGGGTCTGTGTGTAAGGGTGTCCATGAATCACCATTGGGGGGAAGAAGAAGAGTTTTAGAATATTCAGAAGGCGTCAGAGGAGGAGCACTCAATCGGAAGAAAAAAGAAGAGGAGAGAAGATAGAGAAGGAATATATTTCTATATAAAACAAAACATCAAGAAAGACGAGGATGAAAAGAAATGAAACCGACAGGGGAGAAGAGAGAGCATCAATGCTCCTTTTTCGAAAAATAGAAAATGAGAAAAAGTTGAATGAAAGCGAGAAATGGGAAGGAGGAGGTGATGATGATTGACCCCCAACCCCTCGGGGAGGAAATGAAAATGGAATTCTTGGGGGTGACAGGGGGGTCCGTTGAAAAAAACTAAAGATTGGTCTGAAAACGCATTGCCAAGCCTTAGACAGCCTAAGATAACCGAAGCTAGCTTGAAATAGCCTGAAACTAGTCTCTTCGCTGCATTTTTTCTTCAATTTTGAATTCCCGCCAAACTTTTTGATTCGATCGCGCGGAAAGTCCTACTATAATTTTTGCCTGAAAACCATAACGGGCCTTAGACAGCCTAAGGTGTCCATGTGGTGACTTGATGAAGCCTAATAAGGCCTAAAATCCCTGATATGGGGTGAAAAAGCCCAATCTAGTTTGTCCTGTACTCAACAAGCTATACTGAGCCTCAACAAAACTGAGACAGTAGAACTTGCTGCAAAAGACAACTGAAAACATCTCGAAATAGCCTGAAACCGTCTAGAATAACGTCAAATTAGCCTTGGCAAGCCTAAATCAGCTTAGAATAGAACCAGTCGGTGGCGCCGCCTACGGCGGCTCACCTCCTTTTTGTTCGTCGCTGCGCTCCTCAATGGGGGGTTAATTTGCCACGCTTAAACTCATTTTTTATCATTAGGCAGTGATGCACCCTAAGCCTCCTTCATGTCCCCCCCCCCCCCTAAGCCTCCTTCATAAGTATCTGGAAGTTCTGAAAGTTTCTAGTGGTTTCTGGCAGTTTCTAGAAGTTTCTCGAAAGAAGGAGAATGTTCTGGAAGGTTATCCATCTAGAGCTTGCCAGTTGAGTTTTGGGAGTACCGTAACTACCGTAATCCTACAGTAATCTCCACCATTCTTTGATGGTGTACTATTGGGGTCCCTTACGTAGTACATGCAAAAAATGGAACAATTCTGAGCACTTCGAACCCGTTTTCTAGCTATCGCTGAGTTACCTGGTTACTATAGCTACCGTAATCCTACAGTAACCCGTGCTCCAAACTTCACAGAATTGAAGCGCTCGGT